AAAATTTGATTTTTATTAAAGTAAACGTGACCCTAAAAGTTTTGCATAGAATTACTGATTATATATTTTGAGCATGTTTGTCCAGGATTAAAATCCAATTTTAATTGAAAATATGACCGTTATGGGGTCCCACTCGTCTAATAAAAATCAACAATAACGACTAATTTTTCAATTTTAATCCAATTTTAATCTTTACTGAACACGCCCTTATATCATTAGTCAATCACGTAGTGTTCAAAGGTTAAGTAAACATTTCTGCAGTATTCTAATGATTAGATTTTGATTATGTGATTATTATATATTTCATTATCATTTTTTAATTTAGAATTTCTAACGCATAAGACACAAGACTTACTGTGTTAGCAATGGAGATTTCATAACAAGATATTAAAAATATATATTCTATCATTATTTATTAATTAATGCAATAATTAAATTGCAATTTAATTATTGGCAACGAATATAAATCCATTTTGAACGAGTTTGAGTACATTTTGTTAGGAATCAATTACCTCTAATCAAGTGATGACTTGCTCAACGAATATCCTCGAGGACAATATTCGAGAGAAAATTGTAGTTGAGGGATCATCTTCTGACTTTATCAGCTTTTACTAATTCGTTGAACATTAATAAAAATAGACTTTTCTTATATTTAACAAGATTTGATCAGTTATAAAAAGAGAAAAAGATAAGAGACAATAAAAGTCAAGGGACTTTTGTTTATTATAATGAGAACCAAAGTCTTATACTTATACGGAATGATTGGAGATGAAAAGAGGATGATGAAGAGAGCAAAATTCCTTGTGCAGGAGCTTTCTTGATGTATCTTAGAACCTTCAAACAATTTGCCATCGAGTGACCAGAAATTACTCTAAGGAGCAGCCACACCATGTCTGTAAATTACTTAAGAGCCTCTATGGCTTGAAACAAGCCTCACGACAATGGAATTTTAAGCTTACCTCATCTCTTCTTGCATGTGGTTTTATCCAATCAAAAGCCGATTACAGCTTATTCACAAAGAAAGATGGTTCCTCGGTCATTGCCTTATTAATCTATGTGGATGAAATCTTACTTGCAAGTGATTCTCAAACTTCTATTGATTCCATCAGAACTTTTCTTCATAATAAGTTTAAAATCAAAGACCTTGGATCCCTTAGATACTTCATTGGTTTGGAGATTGCTAGATCTTCTAAAGGCATCCACATTTCTCAAAGAAAATATGCTTTAGATATTTTAGCATATTCTAGAATGCTTGGCTGTACCCCTCTTAAACTCCCCCCTGATCAGAATTTTAAGATCAGCAAAACAGATGGAGTTCCCCTCCCAGAATCCTGTACCTATAGAAGACTGATTGGCCTGCTGTTGTAATTAACTATCTCTCGGCCAGACCTCTCTTTTGTTGTACAGTTGTTGAGCCAATTCATGGATAAACCCTCTTCCACTCACTTGGCAACTGCTTACAAGGTTCTAAGATACATCAAGAAAGCTCCTGCACAAGGAATTTTGCTCTCTTCATCATCCTCTTTCCAGCTCCGTGTGTATCGTAACTCTGATTGGGCTTCCTGCCCGGATTTTCGTCGTTCAACCATAAGTTATTGCATATTTCTTGGTGATTCATTGGTCTCTTTGAAGTCCAAGAAACAAAATGTGGTTTCCCGATCTTCCGTTGAAGCCGAACATAGGTCTATGGCTACAACTTGTTCTGAGTTACTATAGCTACGGTACCTGCTTCACGACCTTGGTGTTTCTCATCCTCAGGCTGCTTTGCTACATTATGATAACCAAGCTGCACTTCACATCGCTGCCAATCCGGTGTTTCATGAGCGAACCAAGCACATAGAGCTTGATTGTCACCTTATTCGAGATCAAATTCAAGCTGGGATTATTTCTACTTCTCATATGCCTTCTCATAATCAGTTGGCTGACATTTTAACCAAAGCTCTATCCTCTCATTTGCTATACTCTCACCTTTCCAAGATGGGAGTAGTTAATCTCTACTCTCCACCTTGCGGGGGGATGTTAGAAGACACCGGACAATTGTAAATGTGACACTTTCCAATTGTATTTCAAAATTGTATTTTATTTGCATTGCACTTGTATTTCATTTATATTTGCATTTACACGTCACAAGATTATTAGAGCAAGTTGTTAGGCAGTTACTTTTAGTTGTATATATATTTCACAATACCATTAATGAACAGTGTAAGTTTTGGGGGAATTCATTTTTCTTTAGCTTCATTCTGTGTCGACATTCAGCTCCTCCATCTTTCTTCTTTTACTGCCCAGAGGTATTCATTCTCTGGTTCTTACAAAGAAGAATAAGAAACTATCTCTTTTTGATGTATATGTATGTAAAAAAACAATTCAGATATCACCAAATTAATTTTGGTGCACGTGATAGATGATTATGCTTAAAAAAATTACTACCTTCACTAGGTTTTGAAAAATTAAACTTTCGTGCTGATGACGTATTATAAAAAGAGAGAATAAAAGTCAAGAGAACAAGTGTATTATAATGAAAACCAAAACCTTATATTTATAGGGAATGATTTGGGATACAATGGTAATAATTTCTATGACTACATAGGTACAATTGTTATTTAATAATAAACTTCATTTACAACATGATCAAATTAATTAAGGGTAATTGGCGCAAAACGTCCCTACCTTTGCCGGTTGTTGTGGAAAACATCCCAACCTTTGATTTTTTGGTGCAGAACGTTCCTACCTCTCACTTTTTTTGTGCAAAACGTCCATTTCCTTAATTTTTGACATAAAATGACCGATATGCGGAAAACGTCATTTTTACCTATTTTTAACGTAAAATGACCCATATACCCTCCTATATAAATAAAACAAAAAAGAAAAGAAAAGAAAAATAAAGAATAAATTGCAATCTTACTCCTAAACTTTTTAAAAAATGCAAATCAATCCAAAACTTAAAAAAAATCCCAAATCATCCAAACCCGTCTTTCTCTTAAAACTAATAAAAAAATCTCAAATCATCCCTCACCAAGAACCCTGAATCACAGCAACCCAATTCGGAATTCAAGCTACCCAAATCGCCCCATTTTCCATTCATAAATAATTTTGGATCCTCCAAATAATTTCGAGAAAATACAGAGGAGGCTGGAATATTAGCGAACCGCATTACTGGACTGTAAGTTCTTCAAAGATTTCAGCTTTTATTTGTATAATATAAAATCTGTAGTTAATTTTAAATTTGAGTAAATTCCAGGAAAAAATGGGGATTTACGTGTTGGGATTCGGAGGGCAAAGAGGGGTATTGGAGGTGGACCTGAGGTGTCTTCTGGAGGGAACTCTGGAGATTCAAACTCTGCCTCTTCTATGTATAGGGGATTTTCTGGTTTTCTGAGTGAAAACGGGAATTTGACTATGGGAAATGTTACGAAAGGGAACGGAAACTGCAGTTTAGGTTTGAGGGAAATGGGGAACTTTGTCAGTCAACTTTCGGTTCCATCACTTCTTAGCAACACCCTCAATCTCAGCAGCCCCTCGTGTTTTTTACAACACAATATTTCTACTGGCATACAGGGAGCTAGGCAGGCTCAATTCCGATTATCTTCACTAGATCTCCACTTCAAAAATCTGCAGGCGGGACTGCACTTGTTTGAGTCGAAAAAAGAAGCTTGAATATCCCATGGAAAATCCCATCCTTGATTCAATATCTTGCTTGCCGATGACAGTAGGAAACTCAACACAAAATCAAAAGAGAGAGAATGAAACAAAAAAACCTATATTTATATTTTTGGTCAACCAATTCTTACTGAGCAGCAAATCTCTCAAAACTGCTCTTTAGATAATCAAGAGAATACAGCAAATCTCTCAAATGGATCTGGTTCAGCAGTTATTCAGATTCTTTTTGAATCCTTAAATGTTCTTTTTAAATCTGGTTCGCAAATCTCTCAAATGGTGGGGCATGGGTAAGTATTGGGAAGAATGTGAAATTTGATGGGTTATTTGCACTTTTTAAAAAGTTTGGGCTATAGTTATAATTCATTCTTTATTTTTTTTTTCTTTTGTGTTTGTTTTAAATTAATAGAAGGGTAAAGTGGTCAAAAAGATACGAAAATGACGTTTTGCGCAAAAAAAAAAGTGAAAGATAGGGATGTTTTGTACCAAAAAATCAAAGGTTGTGACGTTTTCCACAACAACCGACAAAGGTAGGGACGTTTTGCACTAATTACCCATTAATTAATATTGTTAGTTGGCAAGAATAGTTTTTAACTTAGGATATTGAGCATGCTCTTCCCCTATAGGCAAGCTTTGCTCTGCTTGAGAGCCTCTCTCTCTAACACACTTGGACAACTTTTTCCTGGTGTTACTTTCAATATAGTTGATATTGATATCCTCCCAGTTAAAACCACTAGTCTGTCTAGTCAAGATGTTGGCTAAAAGATTGGCATAAATGGGCATTCTTGTTAAAAATCGAGACATCAGAAATCAAACCAATTATTTATTATACTTGTACAATTAATTATTTGTAAACAGAAATGGAGGAAATACAAATGTCTCACAGAACATTTTGAGATCCACGTCAGCTTTCATTCATGTCATCCATTCATTCTATATTCCAACAAGAAAGCCAAATCTAAGTTCGAAGAGCTCTATCCAATTCTCAAGAAAGACCAATAACCCTCCCAGTGGCAGTATCAAGATCAATGTCATAGAAGCAAGGCCTTGTTGGTAGACCAGGCATTGTACTCATTGTCCCAACTAAAGGATAGATAAATCCGGCTCCAATGCTTGCCCTGACGTCCCTGATTGGTAGGACAAAACCACTTGGAGCACCTTTCTCTGAAGCGTCATGAGAAAATGAATACTGTGTCTTTGCCATGCAGATTGGCAAGTGGGAAAATCCTTGCTTGCTATACATCTCAATCTGTTTCTCCGCCTGCTTGTCCAAAAACAAAGAAATCAATACCAAAAACCAAAATTTAAAGTAAAAAACCATGTGAAAATAACCTTGATTGACCACATTGAAAAGACTTGACTAAGTTTCTTATGCCTATTTTCTATTTGAGACACAAGGTGCACTGTAGGATATGGATTAACTATAGTAATAAATTAGCCTCCGTTTAGCAAATTTATAAATGATTTATGAAGAAGAAGATAATAATGAATAGTAGTTATGAATGTGTGGTTGAAATTAATGTTTAACTTGAATTTGTAAATCATTTATCCAAATAGAGGCTAAGAAAGCATTATTAATTAAATGAATATCTAGATACACACAAAGCAAACACACTTCTAAAATGAGATCGTGTAGTTATGCACAATTTTCAGATTCCAGTAACTGTGAGTATAGATTTTTACATTATGATTGAAACTTTAAATTTGCATCAGTTCTCAGAATATATTTAAAACTTCAGCTATCAACATTTAGTAGCATACAACATTTTTCCAGGATAAATATCAGTCTAAAAATGATGATTTATACACAGCCCAACTACCTTTTTATAGATAACAGGAACATATAAGTAATGCAGAGTCCAACTACAGAAGTCACTTCCATGTTAAATGGCAGGTTATCTCTCTAGGTCAATGTCATTGTCCAGCATGTAGACAATCAATTTTGCCAAAGAAAACCATATGTAAGAAGACAAAGAAACTCAGCATGATCTCTATTCTCTCTCTAGGTCAATGTCATTGTCCAGCATGTAGACAATCAATTTTGCCAAAGAAAACCATATGTAAGAAGACAAAGAAACTCTCTATATAATTTCAATCAAGACCGATAAGCATGTGAAAATCAAACATATAACTCAAATACAAGATGTTGAGCAGAAATGGGAAAGGAAAAGAAACACTGTGGATGTCAAACACTTTACTTGTTCTGAGTACTCAACACCACTGGCACCATATGACTTCGCTATTGCCTCTATTTTTTCTTTGATACTTATATCCAAGGGATACAAGAATCTCAATGGCTGTACATTTTCGCAGGCTTTTTGAACTGCAATGCCAAGGTCAACCTGAAAATCAGGATAAAAAAAAAGATATTTCAGTCAACATAAAAGACTCTGTAAAAGTTTGCAGATATAAAGCAGTATAAAGATGGTGCAAAATAGCAAGAAAGAGTACCTAATAAACCTTTTGGTAGTTAAGGAAGTTGAATTGAGCAGTTAATTTTTTACTAAAGCTTGCATGTTCTTCAATTTGAAATGTATTTTTGTAAGTTTTTTGGTTACCTTTAAACTTATGCTTTGGCATCAAGGATTTCTACTAGAATTGAAGATTCAAGATTCTATATACTGACATTACTGACCACAATAAAACCTCAGTCGATAATTGAAAGAAAATATGCCCCTGTATTAAAAACTCAAGATATATCCTTTTATATACATTACATGATAACAGTTACTGTTCCCTTAAGGTGTTAGGCCATTTTGGGACACAACTAAAGAACCACTAGGAATTATCAAACAAGCATTCCAAATTTACAACATACTATTTATTACTCCCAGGTGTGTCCATTAACTAGATTAAATAGCAGGAGATTCCACAACTGCCTTTAAAGTGTAAAACGATGCTGGTATTGGAAGTCTTCTGCAGACATTTAAGATCCTCAGTAAGTTACCAGTTTCGTAGGCTGTTTTTCTTGATTAAAGTTGTGTATCTCTGGGCATTTCTACAGCTATCATGTCAAAGAAGTTTGGACTTTCATGTATGATTCTAATGAAGGAACAGATAAGTTGAATTAGCGGCAGGAGGAGATGGCTTAATTGCAGTCAAATACAACTATCCAGGGGAGTTGGCCGATCACCTTAATATTAACTAACAAAAATGAACAATTAATACAACATCTTAATTATTAGTTCATTGGTTTCAGGAAATGGATCATTTCCCTTCATTAAAGCATGACACATGTTAACAGACATGCAAACCAAAAGCAAAATCTCAAAACAATATTGACCTGACAATCTAGCTCAACAAAAGACTAGGCTAAAATGGATCATTTCCCTTCATTAAAGCATGACACAAGTTGATAGACATGCAAACCAAAAGCTAAATCTCAAAACAATATTGACCTGACAATCTAGCTCAACAAAAGAGTAGGCTAATCCTTTACAATTTACTGTGACGTCAACAAGAGGGAAACAACAAGAAATGGGGAAGAGACAAACAATGAGCATTAGTAACAAAACAGTAAAGTGGTGTACTTTCACCATCCAGATGGATACAGATCAACATACAACTAACATAGGTTTTAAAAAGATTATTGCATACATTTAGTGAAGGGCATGTTGCCATAGTTCTTTTTAACTTTCATGCAATCTTATAATGTGCTTTTAATACTTGTGCTTTTTCAGTTGTCCTTATATTTCATCTCTTTTTACTTGAGCGAGAACTAGTTTCATCCTCAACGTTAGTGAGTTTAGCAAGGCTATAATACTTTATACAATTGACAACCCCTAAAAATAAATACTAAATTTAGTAACTAACCGCTCCTTTCCCTCCATGTGCATGGTGAGAACAAATAATAGCATCAAAAGCCCCTGCTGCTAAAGCTGCATTCCTGACTGCACTTAGTTCAGCTTCAGAATCAGTTGAAAACTTGTTGACAGAAACAACAACATTAACACCATAAGCCTTAGTATTTGAGATATGCCTGGCCAGATTACTGCAACCAGCTTCAACAAGAGCCACATTTTCTGTCACATAAGCACGGTCAAGAGGCTTGCCAGCCACAACCTGAGGCCCTCCGCCGTGCATTTTGAGGGCCCTTATGGTTGCTACAATAACAACACACTGAGGGGTTAAACTGCTATATCGACACTTAATATTCATAAACTTCTCTGTACCAATATCAGCCCCAAAGCCTGCTTCAGTAACCACAAAACCATCAGGTCCCACCAGCTTTAGTGCTATTTTATCTGCAACAATTGATGAGTTCCCATGAGCAATATTTGCAAAAGGGCCAGCATGTACAAGGACAGGGGTGCCCTCAAGAGTTTGCATCAATGTCGGATTAATGGCATCTTTCATCAACACAGTCAGAGCACCTCCAACTCCAATATCATCAGCTGTAATGGGATCACCAGCCTTGCTATTTCCAATTACCATTTTGCCAAGCCTCTCTCTCATGTCAGATAGAGACGTTGTGAGAGCCAACACTGCCATTATTTCACTAGCGACAGAAATGTCAAATCCTGTTTCTCTTACCATCCCCTTTTCTTCAGGACCCTGGCCAATAGTAATTTTCCTCAAGAATCGGTCATTAACATCCATTACTCTTCTCCATGTGATGGATTCAGGATTGATATCGAGCCTGGCAAATTTCTTAACTTCTTCTGGTGTAAGCTCTTCAGGGTTGGTCTTGGAGATGCCAAGTTTCTTCAAACGGGTAAACATTATGTCGTTGAAACTCCTTCTGCCTTCTTTATTTGGTGGGCATAACCGGTTGAAAAGAGCCTTATCAGATTGTGTGGATTCATGAAAGATTCTAGTATCAATGGCTGCAGCAAGAAGGTTATTTGCAGCTGTTATTGCGTGGATATCCCCTGTCAAGTGAAGATTGAACTCATCCATTGGGATCACTTGGCTATAACCTCCACCTGCTGCGCCCCCTTTGATTCCAAATGTAGGTCCTTGTGATGGTTGGCGAAGGCATGTGACCACCTACAAGAACC